TGTCATCATCTCTGTTTCTCTGGGTAAGGTCCTGCACCCATCTTCTCCCTCGATGGTTTCGGGGACCTCTGCTCCTGGACTGCAAAGTCAATCACTCCCCTCCTTTTGCTACAAAACGTCTACTTGTACATTTCCAACCCTCACAGTCAGTCCTGATAAGCAATTATTCACTATTGTACCATCTCCTTTCATCAGCCCTACCCAGACAGATTGGCTACTACTCAGTGGAGCAGGCAGTGTTTTGTTCTCTTGTGCATAATGTTACTATGAGTTAGAGCTGATTCGACAACACCTAACCACAATGTATAAGCTTCACTGGTTTTGATCATCTAGGTAACTCAGTTTAAGACATTTGGTAATGAGAGCAGCTCTAGATCTAATAGTGCTTGAAGAGTCAGTGGCAGGTCATAAAGTTAGACGTGCACAGCTGCACTCCATCATTAAATTGGACATGGTACATATGAGATCAGGCGTGAGCCAGAGCTGAAGGCCCAAGTTGCATAAGGATGTGGCCCAAATGCCCCTGGTCTCCACTCTTGTAGCATTACCTTCCTCTCTCAGTTTACACCTATGGCCTTAGGGGGGGTCCTTTACAATCAGTTAACCAAGGAAAACGCATGCTTAGTCGACTGGTGGTTCTGCACAATATGCAGGCACCACTTATAAGTGGACAGCAGCATTACAGTCCCTTTCTGAGGCTTTCCTGAAGGATAATGGTGAAAGGAAATCCTCCCTATGGGCATACATTTGAGCCGTGCACCTGGTTTTTCATTTGCTTTCAAGGAAAAATGGCCAGATACGTGATTGTATACTGATTCATGGGTTTTGGCTAATGGTTTTCTGGATGGCTAATGGTTTTCTGGATGGTTTGGCTAATGGTTTGAACATGATTGGAAAATTGGTGGTATCTAGGATGACACGTTCTGTGGAAACTAATCATTCTCTTTCTCCTGTCACTCTATCATTGCCCAATGGGACGTCATGGTAATAGGGATTAGGGTTATACATGGGTTCAGCAGCATGGCTTCCACTCACCAAGGCTGATTTGACTACAGCTACTGCTGAGTGCTTAATCTGACAGCAGCAGAAACCAACAATGTGTCTGTGACATGAGACAATTCCTTGTGGAGATCAGACAGCAACCTGGTGGCAGGTTGGCTACATTGGACCATTTCCCACCGAAAGGGCTGCATTTTGTTCTTAATAGAATAGACACTTATTCTAGATACTGATTTGCCTTCCCTGAATGAAATGCTTTGCCAAAACTACCATTCATGGACTTACAGAATGTCTGATCCACAGGTATCCCACACAGCATTGAACACTGCCTTGGATCAAAGGACTCACTTTAAAGCAAATGAAGTGTGGCAATGGATTCGTGCTCATGGAATTCAATTCTTACCATGTTCCTAATCATCCTGAAGCAGCTGACTTGATCGAATGATGGAATGACCTTCTAAAGACAATTACATCAGGTAGGATGGCAATACCTTGCAGGGTTGAGCCAATGTTCTTCAGGAGGTTGTATGTGCTCTAAAACAGTGTTCAATATATGGTGCAGTCTTTTCAATAGCCAGGATTCATGTGTCCAGGAACAAAGGGGTGGGGATGAGAATGGCACCAATCATTATCACTCCTAGTAACCCACTTGCGAAATTTTTGCTTACTGTCCCTGGAACCCTATGCTTCAGGTCTGGGTATTTTAGTTCCAAAGGGAGAAATATTCCCATCTGGAGACGTAACACTGATTCCACTGAATTGGAAGTTGAAAATGCTCACTGGCCATTTGGGGCAGCATATACCTCTGGATAAATAAGCAATGAAGGAAGTTACTATATTTAGTGGTATGATTGATTGATCCTGATTACCAGGGGAAACTGGACTGACATTACATAATGGAGTTAAAGAAGAACATGTATGGAGTCCAGATTTAATACTACCATGCCCTGTGATTTCTATTAATGGTAAACTGTGGTGGTTGCGTGCAATGGAGTTGGTTCAGACTCTTAGTGACACTGTATAGGATCTGAGGCTATAAATCTTTACAGGAGCAGAAAGTCTCATCTTTCTCCCACAGTGGTAAACTACAGCAACCCAATTCCAACATGAAGACCCTTTATGAACGAAAGTTTGGGTCACCTCACCAGGCAAAGAACCACAAACAGCTGAGGTGCTTGCTGAGGGTAAAGGGAATACACAATTGGTGGTGAAGGAAAGCAATTCTAAATATCAGCAAAGGCCAGGTGACCAGTTGCAGAAATGACTGTGGTTATGAGTTTTCCTTGTGTGTATGCATCTTTTGTTTTGTCCACTTATGAAATACAAGATGTAATTAGAGTTAATGTTTTTGGTTGTACATGTGTTATTTGCAGTATGTTAGGTGCAAGTATAATCATTGTTTTTATTTAGAGATTTTGGTATGGTTTAAGGAAATATACACAGGTGCCAAGTTGACAAGGGTGGACTGTAATAGTTAAGGTTTGTGTCAACTTGACTGGAGCAGGATTCTCAGTGGTTTGACAATGAAGATGTGAGCAGTCCATCAACTGAAAGAAGTGTCCTTGGGTGTGTGGTCTGCTTCCAATACACTGAACACTCGAGGAAAGCTGGCTTGCTTTCTGCTGGGTCAGGACTCTGCATCTGGCTTGTCATCTGCCTCTGATTCTTTGGACTTGAGCCCGTGGCCTGCTCTACAGCCTGCTGATTGATCCTGGGAGTCCTCAGCAGCTGGCCATCTTATCTACCCAGCCGATCTTATAAAAGCTTTACTGATTTTGCTTCTCTAGAGAACCCAGCCTAAGAAACAAGGATATCAAATTATCTTTAACCTCTGATTTAAATAGAGAAAAACCAAACAACAAAAAAATGAAAAATACGCCAGAAAGTAGTAACTTGTTTCCTATTTAGAAAAGAAAGGTAACTGAAAATAACAACTAAGGTACAGTTTCTATAGCTGAGTATTTTTCGGAATTGTAAGGTTTTCATTTCTAATAGTGTAAAGTGCTGTGATAAACTTTTCTACTTAGCTTAATCTTGAAAGGAGCCTTAGACAATTACTTAATACTTTCTCCTTTGGTATTTTATGTTGTAAATCTAAGGCAATGCTGCTGAGTCGGTTCCAACTAACAGCGACTTTGTATATGGTTTCCAAGGAGAAGTAAGTGGGTTTGAACAGCTGGTCTTGTGGTTAGTTGTCCAGTGCTTATCCTACAGTGCCACACCGGTTCACTCTTTTAAGTAATTTACTGCATTATATTCATCTGTCCTACAAATGTAGACTAATGTTGAATGAGGAGCCCTGGTGTTACTTTTGGGTAAGCACTGGACTGCTAACCCACCAGCCACTCCATGGGAGAAACATGAGGGAGGCTATCTTATCCCATAACAATTTATAGCCTTGGAAATTCTATACAGGGTCACTATGAGTTAGAACCAACTCTACACCACCTAACAAACGACAACACCAACACTGAATGGGCAAAGATCTACATCACTATATTTTAGGGGAAGGAGGAGTTGGAGTGATAAGTATTTTATTTTCTTTCATAACTGAACTAATCTGTCTGAATCGATGAGAATCCAACTAGTCATATCTTTTGATTTCCAACATTAGTCACAATTCTGTATTAACAGTTTTCCTTTTCCCTAGTGATTTTTTATAAACCAAAGGAGAATGCAATAAAACATTTCAATGGTTACGTGAAATTTTCTATACAATGTGCCTCTGCATAAACTGAGCTTTTGATTCACAGATATTGTTACCATGAGATAATTTGAGATATTTACCAGCTGATATGAAAATCTCATCTTTGGTATATAATTGGCAATTTGTTGTTGTTAAGTGCTGTGAAGTCGGTATTGACTCATAGCAACACTGTATGGGGCTTCTGAGGAGCAGCTGTTGAGCCTGAACTGCCGACCTTACAGTTCAAACGATTTTGCAGTCTGATGCATTAGCCCACAGCGCCACACCAGGACTCCAATTGGCAATTACGGGGTATCAATTTATGAAAGCTAAATATACAAAAGTGGAGAACTGCCTCTGAGGTAATTAGAATTAATTATTTTAGGTGAAAGAACACTTAGAAATCATACAATCCAAACTTATTCCCAAGGCATGGAGAATAAATAGTACCCAGAGACACTTGAGTAGCACCCACATTTCATGATGACTGGAGCTGGGACTAGATTCCAGGTCAGTTAATTTCTTATGCTATATAACAATCATAGTTGAGAGGCCTTGTCATTATTAAGAAATTTCTTTTCCATCAAGTCTTTGTTAGGATTACTAACAAAAGCAAAAAAACGTTCAAACTGTGATTTCTAATCTTTCTTCCCAAGTCACATTCTGTTGAACCAAAAAGCCGTAAAACTTTAGAATAAAGTTTTCATGGAAATGGTCAATTTACAGTGGATAAAATCAAGATCTAGTCTTAATTCTTTCCTCTAATGCTAAACTAGGTTTATTTCAATACTAGTAATTCCTAGGAATTTGTCACCTAACCCTCAGATTTATAGACAAAGCTGTGGTAACAAAGCTGAGATCTTAAGATGTGGACCAGATTCAGTGATGACATGTGGGTTCATTTGAACACTTTTCCTTCAAGGCTACTGCCACCATGAAGCCAATTTCTCACAACAGAGGTTTTTACTCTCAGAGGGCTCACATACATAATCTGGATCAGTGAAAATAATGGGCAGCCTTCCATTTGTTCTTTAAAACAAATATATGTTAGGTGGAAAGAAAATAAGGTGTCAAAGTGCAAGTTAAACTAGAGGGATTTTTTTTCCACTGACAGATTATCTAAGTATCACTTCATATGCACTTCATACGGTAACTGGAAATCAACAGCATATTCAGTATCGTGTATTTAAGGCACAAAACTTTGTAGGTTCTCAGGTTGCTGCTTACAATAGGAGCTTAAAGAAGAATATGAAAAAAAGAAAGACACTTAGGAAAAATTTATACTGCAAGGAGTAAATCAAAATGAAAAGTTACTGCATATTTGTTTTTATTTATAGACTGCTACCACATGAAGTATAAAGAAGAAAGAGGCAATGTGAGTAGAACTTGAGTAGATGGATACATGCTATGGGTACGGTACACAGTGATCTCACACATTATGGTTAGTGAGAACAGTAACAGTACAGTAGGGAATTAGGATTATTTAAAAATATGCCGAACTCATACAACTGTGCTTTAGAAATAGCTGATAGTGTTGTAAGTTTCAAATGAATTAAAAAGAATAACTAATACGAAATATACAACTGTATATAAGAATTCAGAAAAGGCTACATTTCGTAAAGTCAGTCAGTTGTATTAAAAATGATACAAATCCAAAACAAGATGCATGTTATAAAAAAGGGTAAGTCTTGCTTGTGACATTAAATCCACAGTTCAATCCACACAATTTCCTTTTGATTATCATTTAGACAGAAGCATGCAGACAGTCTTAGGATCTAATTAGAATCTTCCCTGAATCTACTACGGCTACACATCCCCTGTTCAGGAATTAAGAAGGTATTCGCGTAGCTGCTTCCTCCTCTGCATCAGCTCGATTCGCATTAATTTCTGCGAGGGTTCGGCCAAACCGTGCCCATTCATCATTGCGTGGAACAGCAATCTGCTGTAAAAAGAAAGACAACATTTTAGGTACACTGAAATAAAAGATCATCCTATCCACTTTTATTGAATTTGTTTTCAAATAAGTTTTTGCAATAAAAGGTAAACTGTCATTCTAATATAGTAGGAATCTGGCAATGCCGTATTAGAACACACACCAATCAGTAGTGCAAAGGGATGTGCCTACGTCTAAGCCGATAGTGTCTAGTACAGCAGCTGCTAGCCAGTCATATGTGACTATTTACATTCAAATTAATTAAACTTAAGATAAAAAAAAAAAAATTCAGTTCCTCAGTTGTAGTAGCCATATTTTAAGTGCTCAGTAGCCACATGTGAGTAGTGATACCACACTGACAGTACAGAGGCAGAACATTTCCATCAGCACTTAGACAGTACTGTTCTAAGCAATCCAATTCACTGCCCTCCAAACCCAATGCCTAGCGACCATAGGTTGTCCAGAGAAGGTGAAGAATCATGAGTACTAATGTTAGTACTAAGGCACCAGCAAGCCTATAGTGGAGGAAATCAACCCCAGGCATTGTGTAGAGCCACGGTGAGCATGAAAGGAGAGTAAGCTGCAACTCTGTATGCTGGGTTCAATTAGGATGACTTTGCATCAAGGCTCAAGGTTCAAAGTTGATAAAGTCACCGCATGATTCTCAGAAGATACTACTTCTCATTTTTACTACCTTGCCCAAAGAAATCTATAAATATAGAAAAGTAAAATCTAATCTCAATTACATGAAGTTCAATAATAACTCCAAATTTCTTCTTCCTGAAAAATTTCTAATTTCCAGCAAGCATGTTTCAAAAAATCAGGGTACTTTTAACATTTTCATGTTATCCTCAAAATCTGTTGCATGGGGACATGGGACATCTCAAGAGTTGTGTCCACAGTGGAAAGTTAAGTTTTATTTTACAACAATATGGTTTATACAATGCAGGAATCTCAACAGCAATGGCGTAAAAGCTGAATAGATGTGTCAAAATGATAGGCAGAGTCCCATACCTCTCCCACATCATATATAACAATCTGTCCTTCAGAATCACCCACGGCAATCTCTCTTCCAGAATGGGTCCATCTTACACGATTAAGAGCAGGATTACCTTCCACGGAGATGCTAGCAGTTGGCACCTAAAGTCATTTAAAATATAGTGCAGTGTTAAAAGTTTCATCAAGATTTCTATAAACATGTAAAGCAGTGATTCTTTCTTTCAACCTGACTACATTTTCTAAAACAAAGATGAAAATAGATAAAAAAATTCTCCAAACTTTTTTCCTATTCAGCGATAGATTATGAATAACATTATAGTCAATTCTTGAAAATGGTTTGGCAAATAACTAAAGTCCTTATGTAGAGAATTCTTACCTGACTAGACAAGATCATTTTAGAAGAGCTCCTCTTTAATACAGTACTCTCTGTTGTTGTTTTAACTTCTCTAAGAAGTCAGGTTGTTTGAAAGCATATGGCCAAAACTCCATTTAAAAAACAAACAAAACAATTCAAAAGTCTTCATAAACAGATTATAGTTCAATTTTAGAGGGCTGGGATGAATGGTGTAGCTTGCATTTCTATCAGGAGAAACCTGTGATCCGATGCACAATTCCTAGAGACATTCCTAGTTAAAGTGCAACATGCACCTTTCTATGAAGGCGGCAGAAGGATGGCGCCAGTCCCTTCCAACCTGGCTCTGTGCTGAAGAAAAAGAAATTTACTTGCCATTACGTAACACACAGAGCGAACAATCTGATGCTTGATTCTCATTAAATGTTGTTGTTATGTGCTGTGGAGTCGGTTCCGACTCATAATGACCCTGTACAGGGTATAGCACAATAAAAATTCTTACATTAAAAAAATCTAATAAAAAATAATCATTTTAATTGAATCCAGTTATTCCCAAGTGACTGATTTAACTCCCTAATACACTAAAATTTTTACACATAAAAATTATATATTAGATATATTCTTTAACAACTAGAGGAAAGATCCATATTTAACTGTGGCCACAAATCTCTTAAGACCAAAATTCAAACTAAGAAATAAAAATGACATTCTAGGTAACTAGAAAACATAATCAAATCAATTATTTAGTTATGCTCCCCAAATTACTGGGTCAACAGTTAACACAATGCTAACATTCTTATATTTCCAGCATATAAACTCCATGTCCTGTATAACCAACAGTTTCACTTTTAGGGCTGCAAAGATGCCGCTAGAATAGGAAAAAATGTGGAAAAGACTGGGATATGGAAGAAGGCACCGAGTGAGTTTCTTTCTATTGACAGAATTACTAACATTGTCAATATAAATTCTAAAAACATGTGAAGCCTCTATCAGCTGGTAAAAAATACACATGGTTCAATATAAATTATAATCACAATTAAACGAATTGCTAATAAGTGATTTTAGTACAGCAATTATGAAATCAGGTGGTTTCTGTATTCATTTTATAGTAACAATAACACTCCATTTTCAATCCTCCAAGGGAAAGTCATCAAAATGCATTTTTACTTCAATCACAAGAGGCAGACTTAGGCTAATGTTTATGGATCACACACAATTCTATCAAGGCTAAGAGATCATTTAGAAATTCAGAATTAAGGTTAACATACTTCAACAGTCTGAAACTACCTGCTTTCTAGCCTATAAATGAAAAATATCCCCGGTGCCTTATGAATGAAACTTTGCCAGGACGTTAGAGACATGAGAGTGCTTCTCAGAAGTAAAAGGAAATGCCCCAGTGCTCTTGGCACCATTATTTCTTCTTTCAGTTCTGCACAGCATGCTGTTTATTATTTAGGGTACAAAGCTTATTTAGCTTCTTTGTGATGAAGCCACAATCACTGAGCCCTTTTACATTCCTTGGGATAAAAGGAATTTTACAAATTATTCAATAAATCTCCAATTTTCTGTTTTTCAGCACAATTTTTGTTATTTTCCTGCTCACCTCTGTGTCATTATTGAGATTCCACAAATCCAGTCTCCCCATGCCATCCACACAGGCAAACAGGGCTGGGTGGGTGGGTGACCACATAACATCATAAACATAGTCTGAATTATCTTCAAATGAGTACAAAGGCTTGTTATTCTGAAAGGGAAAAGTTGATTCTTAGCACAGTCAAAATCGGACACACATTCAACAGGCATGAAAACATAGTATGATTTTTAACTCAGCCTAGAAAAAGTTCCGGTAAATTTGTTTCAGTACAGCACTGCCTAGAGTTATAAATTTAGAATAAACTATTAGATTGCTTTTCTTTTCTTTTCAACACGGAGAAGCCATACCATTAAAAAAAAAGAAACAGAATATGATTTTAAACATTTGCGAAGATAAGAGCAGTGGTGGTATTCTTTTTAGTGGCAGAATTGTCTTTGAATCCTCCCATAAAACCAAACACAATGATGAAGAGAGCAAAACCAAAGACTCACAGACCACATCTACAACAAAATTATGAGACGAGGTATCCTCTAAAAGCTCCAAGTCTAAGTGGGTGGAAATAGTCTTCTGACAACTAGAAGACCGGCAGGATGTGTGTGGGAGAAGTGACAGGAAGGAACCAAGGCTTAGGATACCCTGAGAAAAGAAGCCTTCGCAGGGTCAGCAGGGACTGACTGGACAGTGCGGGGGGGTGGGCCAGTTTGACAATGTGAGCAAAAACTACGGTGGCGTTTGCAAAATCCCATTTACAAATAAGTGCAAGCAGACCACAAATACGATGATGGTGCAGTCTGGGCCCTATAAACTCTCAATTTAATATACCAATTCTCTCTTCCAAGGCATTTAAAAGGAAAAATATATAATCAGTTATTGTTGTTGAACAGACACACAACATGCCCCATTCAACAGTTTCTGAATGTATAGCTCAGTGACACTGATGACATTCTTCAGTTGTGCAATCATTCTCAGCCTCCTTTTCTGAGTTTTTCCTCCCCCATTATCATAAACCCACTGCCCCTAATGTTCCTATCTACTCTTTCAAACTGCTGTTGTCAATTTGATCCATATAGATATATCTTAAAAGAGGATAATGTTCAGGGCAGACATTGTCTGCTAGTCAACTTAAACTAGTTTGGTTCCACTAAGACTTCAGGAGATATTTTTAGTTTAAGGTCTAAAGTTATCTTAGAGCAATAGTTTCAAGAGTTCATCTAGCATCTGTGGCCCCAGAAATTTTGGATTCCATGAGAATTTGAAATCCTATTCTGCACTCCCCCCTTTTAATCAGAATTCTTCTACTAAGGTCAAGTCTTCTTTAAGGGGAACTGTTGGGGGAATAGAATCTAAAATGTGGAAGACAAAGACATCAGGGAAAAGGGAAAGAAAAGGTTCAGATAAAAGAAGAGAAAAGGCCTAACTCAGAAGTCCAAGACAGACATACACACAAGGGGTTTGGGGTAAGGACTTACTTAAAAAAATTCATGGAAAAATGAAATGAAAAGATAATGGAATTTTTTCACGAACTTTTTGAAACTCAAGGCACACACACACGAGGATACATAAAAAAGTACTGCTATAAAATGATAAGTACTGCTATAAATGATAAGATCTTTATTAAAAATAAAAATAAAAACATGAAGCTATTGCTTCTCTACCCATCCTCCCCATCTACACTTCTGAAGGCGATGGTTCCATCTCTGATATACACACCACAGAATGGCAACTTTGGCATCCTTGAGGGATTTAAATCATGGTCCTTTTCAATGTTCTTTGATTTTGGGGAACAAAGAGAAGTCTGAAGGGGCAAGATCAGGGTTGTAGGGTGAATGGGTAAGGTTTCAAAGTAAATTAGTTTAGACAGCCCTTGCTAACCTCAAGGAATGAGCAATGAGTACACTGTTGTGACAGAAAAATATTACTTTGGTGGAACTTTCCTGGTCTTTTTTTCACCAATGCAGTTTAAAAAAAAAGTGTTTTCACAGTAAGTCCCTATGACAGTCTGTGTCCTTTGAGAAAATCTTATCAAGATGATTTCCTTTAGTTGTTATTGTTAAGTGCCATCGAGTCGGTTCCGACCCATAGCGACCCTGTACAGGGTTTCCGAGGGTGTAAATCTTTACGGGAGTAGAAAGCCTCATCTTTCTCCCGCGGAGCAGCTGGTAGTTTCGAACCACTGACCTTAAGGTTCACAGCCCGATTCGTAACCACCCCCCCAAATAGTCACTATAATCTTTTGAGCTGACCTCTTTGCCTTGAATTTAACTCATCCAGCAGATCCCTTCAGAAGCCACTGTACCCTCTGAATAGTATTGATAAACCCTAGACTTGTCCCCAATTATGATTCACTCTATAAAATCATCTTCATTAGCTTTAATCTTGCTTAACAGATTGATGAAAAGATAGGCTTTCTGAGCTAGCTAATCTTTGCATACAGCTTTTGGCACTCATTGAGCTGAAAGTTTACTGGAGCCAAGAAATTCACTTAAAATTGAAACTGCCAAACCATGTGAGACTCCAACTTCAGTGGCTACCAAATCAGTAGTAATTCGATGGTCTTCTTCCACCAGTTTCTGGACTTAAGTCACACTTTGTTATGGTTGGTTGATGGTCTTTACTCTCTTGGCTCCTCTTTGATGTCTTCCTGACCCTCCTTACAGTGCCTGATCCATTGAAGAATTATTGCTTTATGTGGGGTGTTTTTTCTGAAAATTTGTTGTAAAGCTTCAGTGATGTGGGAAGACGTTCACTTGAGTTTTGTTGAAAATTTCGTACTAGCCCTTACCTCAAAATCATTTTTTTCCCATGGTACAGAAAGTATCCTAGTTTTGAAGGCACTCTAACAAGACTAAGACAAACTGAGAGAACATGACTGCAGCCATCCACTGAGCAGAGATGAGTTTAAACACACTTTGTTTGGAATAAATCCATGCATGTGTGATCTGCAACTCTAGGTGTGATGCTATAGAATAAGCCTGAACTGCTAACTACAAGGTTGGTGGTTCAAACACATCAACTGCTCCTTGGAAACCTGATACAGGGTTGCTGAGTCAGATTGACTTGATGGCACTTAACAACAACATACGTATAATGGGGCATCAAAAAGTTCATGGAAAATGGAATCGAAAGATAATGAAATTTTTCCACATGCTTTTTGAAGCCCTCTGTGTACACATGTAAACATATACACATACATATTTCAAACTTTTTGGAGCCATCTGGTTTAGCTGTTGCTGTTAAGTCAACTCACGGCAATTCCATTCGATGTGAGAATTGTGCTCCACAGCGTTTTCATATATGTATGATGCATATGTAAACACACACATGCATGTATACGTAAACACATACAAATAGCACTTTGCAAAAAACAGGAGAGGAGGCTCTACTCTAGACTGTAAAATCAGAAAAGTTGTCCTTGCTTATCCCTCCTTCCTACAAGTACAGAAAAAACGAATTTCACTTTGAGACCATGAGCAACCGGAAAGGATCTCAGTTAAATCCCATAGAATACTGTGGCAGATTATAGTTTTCAAAGAGTGACACACCAATATACATTCCATCTACAGGGTTTTCTTATAGCATGATGCTGACATTCTTCCATCAAAAGAAAATGGTCTCTGTTCCTTCCCGCAAACCTGAGTAGACCTTTATAATTGCTCCCCCTAACAGAATGCAGTGAAGTGCTGCTGTAGGGTTTCGGAGGCTGGGTTCTAAAAGGTGATAGGGGCTTTGCTTTGCTGCTGGCTGCTGTCTTTTGGGACACATGCTTTTGCATGTCAGATGGCTGGCTATCCTGAAGCTGCCATGCTAAAGACACTATGAGAGGAGACCACATCAAGGTAAGAGAACTAGCTGCCTGAGGAGCCTCAGTTATTTCAGTCTTCCCAGTCTTGGCACCAGACATATGGGTGAGAAAGCTTTTAGATGATTCCAGTTCCCAGTCAATACCATGTGATGCAGAAGTGACATCCTTGCTAAGCCGTACCCAGACTGTAAATTTTGTGAGCCAATTATATGTTATTATATTAAGTCCTAACATTTTGGTATGTTTGTTACATGACCATAGTATGTACAACAGTTATTGTATGAAAAAAACAACAACTAAGTACCAGAACAAAATACCTTCTAATGATGAAAGGATATCAGAAAGAAATGCCGATGAAATGATGAAAACTACAGCTTAATATTTCAAAGCAAGCTAAAAAAAATAAAGAAAATGATAAAAGCTATGAAATAACATAAACCACATCATAAAAATTATAAAATGAGGTGACCAGATAAAAGTAACCTCTAGAGAGAAGCAACAGAAGTCAGTATAGACTTAGAAATAAAAGAAAAAGATTAAAGTAGAAGAAACACAAGAGCAAATAAACATAATAAATAATGCCTTAAGAGAAAGCAAACATGGAAATGAAAAAATAAAAAGAACCAAGAAGTTGGAGTACTCACTTGCTTATTTTAAAACATACTACCAAAGCTACCACAATCAAGTCAACATGATGATGGCATAAAGGCGGTCATACACATCAATGAAACAAATGGAGAGTATAAAACGTAAACCTCTACGTTTAGTCAACTGACCTTTAACAAGAGTGTCAAGACAATTCATTTGTTGAAAAGAATAGTTTCAACAAATGGTCCTGAGGCAGTCAAATCTTCATATACAGAGGAATGAAGTTGGACTCTTCTTTTCTCACAACTCAGACAAAAAATGAGATCAAAATGCATCCTACCTCTAAATGTACGTGCTAAGATCCTAAACCTTTTAAAAGAAAACAGAGTAGTAGAGAAATCTTTAAGACTTTGGATTAAAATAATGGTCTTTTAGACACAAAACCCAAAGCACAAGCCACAAAAGAAAAAATAGATACACTGGAATATATATATATATATATAATTTGTTGTTGTCAGGTACCATCGAGTCGGAACCGACTCATAGTGACCCCATACACAAAAGAACGAAACAATGTCTGATCCTGGGC